ATAATAAATAAATATAAAATAATTTTCAAAGTCCAGTGATGAAAATAAGTGACCACAATACCGTGACACAAAAATCTAAAAAAATATATATAAAAGTCCAGTGATCTAAAAAAAAACTTTCTTAAAAAATATAATAAACTTCAGTGCTTCAAATAATTCTTCCACCATCCACCAGTGCCAAAAACCAACATAAACCGCACTCACCAGATATTGGTGAGTAAAACACCTTTCAGGATTATATAGGGCTCCTGGACCCCCTTTGAGGACTCCTCTATTTTCCACCTCAAACCTATGGGTGATTCTTCAATCGTCTCCTCGCCACACCACCAAGTTCCAAAAGGGAGAAAAAAAAACTAATAGTGTGATACTGTTATGCCCCTTTTATAATTAATTCATGCCAAACAACTCACATTTCAAAGGATAAAAACCAGCATTTATTTAAGGACATCATACGAATTTTCGAGTAACAAATACGAATTTCCACAGCTCCTAGGAACTCACAGCCTTGTATACAGCAGGATGACAGCCTCCATAACAAACAAACTTTCTTACGAACTTTCTTTGCTCGTCAAAAAAATGACCGCCTGGAACACATCCCTCGGCGTGCGTTCCACTCACCGGAAATGACGTCGAACGTTCGGGGAACCGACCGGAAATACGTCAACGCGTTTCGCCCCACCCACAGGGCGTTCTCAAGCACTCAAACTGATACCCAAAACAGTGCTCAAATATATATTTAAATTAGTGTATCGCTAAACATTCATTAAACCAAAAAAACCAATATAATAATTACAAAATCATATATATTGCATATACTTGTGATTAATGCTATAATCCTCTCAGTGCTCTTGTATGCCACTTGATACATACACATATATTCCTATATCCCAAAAATCAATATAAACTCATATTCCATTAATAGTATATAAATATTGTGATGGTGCAACTTCAAAAAAATAAATAAATAAATGAAATAAATAAATCAATATCATGTGATGGTGCAACTTCAACTTAATTCAACGTCCAATGTTCAAATCCAAATCAATATACATATTTATATACATGCAGTGTGTCTTTATATATAGTGCCACTCGTGTAAAAAAACACACTCCTTTCCACTTCGGCTGCAATGCCTGCTCACCTCCTTCCAGCGACCCCTAGGGGCCCACAAGCCTTTAGGATCACTCTGGATCCTCAAGAATCCTGGTTTGGTACCTCTCTGATACTCCTCCTATTTGGCCTCCTCCACACCTTCACTGCTGTGCCTCATAGGATCCTCACCAGCGACTTTCTTCAAACTCTCTCTCACATATTAGTGAGTCAAAAAAAGATCCTCCATAGTGTAGTATTTCCAATATGCCAGAGTTTAATTTAAAAAATAGCAAAAAAATTAACACATTCGTTTGTACAGCGATTTTTCTGTCCCTGTATGGGCAAACTGCACACATGTGTTTTTGCTTCCTGATAGAACTGAAGCCTTTTTTTTATTTTTTTTTTGAGCCATTGAAGACCCATTTACATTTTTCTACCCCAACGTGAAATTGGGCTCTAAAAGAGCAATGATAATAGACAAAATGGCCCTGACCTACTTAGTTGTGTGGCTTTCATAGGAGGCCACACATTTTATTTTTTAGGCACCCTTTGCAATAGTAAGACAGTAGGTCTGTCTTTGTGGAAACTCGGCTTACTGCTTCATGCCAATGTTTATTCTCTCTAAATAATGCCTCAGGATTATTAGTCAATTAGATACTTTTTCCAGGTGGAGATATTTACCAAGCAGATCAGAATCAATTCTGTGTAGAACCAATAACCATAACTTTACTATGACTACTGCAAAGTGGTCACTTCTCCATAATATGTGCCCATTTACCCACTTTTGGGGAAATAGGTACAGTTTTATTAAAGTAAAACTAAATGCAAAACTTTTTTTTTTTTTAGTCTAGGATGGAATGGAGAGGATCTTTAACACCTATCATCTTTTTTTTTTTTTTTTTTCGATGTTTGTGCTCCCCGTTGAGGAGATTCACCCTTTCTATTCGTCCTGCTGACTGTTATCGCCAACAGTGAAAGTAAAAGAAACTCTATAATTTGATCACACGCTTACTCCAGTTGCCCCTTTTACATCCGAGACTGGGAATGGGAGCTGGGATGCAGCCCATCCCAGGAAGACTGGGATAAAGCCTTCCTTCTTACCTAAACTTACACTATCCTCGCAAGTACAGAAACCAGGGGCGGACTGACAACTCATGGGGCCCCCGGGAAATAGGGGATCATGGGGCCCCTATGTCCTTGCCCAAACTCAAAAAAGCCTATGAAAAAGGTACCTAAGGGCATCTCATGGGGCCCCCTACTGACCCCGGGCCCTCGGGCAGTGCCCCAGTTTCCAAATGGTCAGTCCGCCCCTGACAGGAACTGAACTACAGAATCTTGATCGGATGATACAGCTGCACGTCTGTGTTACACAAGTTAATTCCCACAGTACTTGATATTTGTTGGAGATGTGGAGAACCAAGTGGTACACATCTCCACATATGGTGGTCCTGCCCAAAAATCAGGCCATACTGAGTGGACATATTCCATCTGAGCCGCCTTATTACAGGTAGGGCATGGCCGGAGACACCAGAAATAGCTCTTCTCTCCATTATTCTGAGCTCAATTAAATCATCTCCATTCCTGGCTTACGGCAGTCCAGGCCTTAATTCCTAGACATTGGAAATTTCCCACAACACCCACTATCTGTGAATGGGTCACTGAGCTAAATTACATTAAATGAATGGATTATCTCATGGTCATGGCTGATGAAAATGACTCTACATTTTGGGACTTGTGTGGGTTTCCATGGTTTGAATTCCCTGACCGTTTGCCCTTTTTGAACCTATAGGTGCTCATACCTTAAACTTGGACACATCATGTGTAACTCCTTCTGCCGGACACCCCTTCCCCCCTAGCTCCTCCTCTTTCCTCACTTTCTCTACCCAATTTTGTTTATTTCTATTATTTTCTTCAACCACTAGTTCTTTTCACATATCCCCCTCTTTTTCTCATTTTTCTCTTGTTTTCTCTTTGAAGCTGAAAATGTGGCATATATAGGATTGTTCACCCAGATTTATATAGATATTCCATTTTTCACACTATTCTCCTTCCTACTGTCAGGCTGAACCCAATAGAGTGCCTGAGTGGTAGTTTATAGCTGATTCTCAAGTGGATGCTCGAGTTTGCACCAGCTGGGGGAACGTTGAAGTTACTGTGAATAATGAGAGTTACTTGCAATTTTTTAGGATGACTTTTGTTTTTGACCGCATTTTCATTGTTTTTGTATTACTCTTTTTATGTTTATTTGATTGTTACTGTGCCAGACTTCTTAATACAATTTTATTCTTTAAAAAAAGAAACTCCAAAATTTGGATTGTCACCAGAACAGGGAAATTTTCCAATAGGTATACTGCTTCTGGTGACCCTGGTGACAAGCAGGGATTTGTTCTCTTTGTAGAGATTTATTTATTTATTTCAGATAATTATATAGTGCCATAAATTTTACGCAGCACTTTTACATATATATTGTATATTCACATCAGTCCCTAACCCTCAAGGAGCATCTAAGGTCCCTATCTCACATTCATACATACACATACTAGGGCCAATTTAGACAGGATCCAATTAACCTACCAGCATGTCTTTGGAGTGTGGGAGGAAACCAGAGTACCTAGAGGAAACCCATGCAGGCACAGGGAGAACATGCAAACTCCAGGCAGGTGGTACCATGGTTTGGGATTTGAACCAATGACCCTAGTACTGCCAGGCAGAAGTGCTAACCATTTAGCCGCTGTGCTGCCCCTAGATTTCATCACTTCCTGGCTGTGGGGCAGGAAGTGAAGGGAAATCTCCGCAGTGGCACATGGATGGTAAAGAAGAAACTGACAAGGGTTAACCCCCCCCCCCCCCCTCCTTTTTTTTTTTTCAAAATGGAAAAAAAAAATGTTTTGCCTTTAGTTCTACTTTAAAGCAGAGCTCCACCCAAAAGTGAAAGTTCTGCTTTATCCCCTGCTCCCCATTAAGGATTGGCACCTTTGGGGAGCGGGGGGGAGCGGGTACTCGGATTTGACAGGTACCTGCGCCCACTTCCGCTGCGATCGCCTAGGCGATCGGAAGCAGAAGTTGTCCTCCCCTCCTCTCTCCTCGTAGTGTTCTGGTCCCAGAAGACTACGGGGCCATTCACAAAGTGCAGCGATTCTTGCTCATGCATAGTGGGCTCCTGGCTGTCAAGCCAGAAGCTGTCACAGCCAGGTGGCCACACTAAAGATTCCGGCGCCAGGGAGAGAAGATGGCCAGTGAAACCAGCCGTGGTGAGGACACCGCTGGACCAAGGGACAGGTGAGTGTCTGTATTTTAAAAGTCAGCAGCTACAGTTTTTGTAGCTGCTGACTTTTCTTTTTTCTTTTTTCAGCTGGAACTCCGCTTTAAAGACATTGGAGCTATTCTGGACAGAGAGTATTGCTTTCCCACACTTTTTTTTCCAGATATGACACACAGCGTTACTTATATTTTCTTTTATGTGCATGTTGCTCAGCATGAACAGCAGCATTACATTTTCCTTTATTTTTTTTCCGCCCTAAAAATATCCTCTTTAGTTTTGGCCCTAGTGGCTCTCATCATGTTATGCTGTGGTGGAAATCAGCTACAAAAATGCACTGTCCATCTTCATTTAGCCTTTAGTCTTTTAGCAGTCTTCCTCCTTGTGCAGTGGCTATGGAAAAATATTAGAATACCAGAGAACTAAACACAGAATGAAGACTGGTTTAATCAGTCATGCCCATCCGTAGCAACTTTACAGCATTCACATCCTACCTTCATTTAATGTAAAGATGATTTGTAAAAAAAAAAAAAAAAGGAAATTGTTACAAACTAGAACAGAGTATTTTAATACTGTTAGAAAATACAAGGTATAGTCATGAGTACCAGAGTAAGACTGACTAATATATACAGCAATAAACTCCACAGTGATGCTTCTTGGGAAAGTTGGAGACCAAACCTCTGCAATGCACAACATAATTTAAGAGCGCATATAAAACACACATAAACAATTAAAGCGGTAGTAAACCGCTAAAAAAAAAATTGTAGTTGGACCCCCTGCAGGTGTATCCCACAATGTGCTAGTATACTATCACACAGGGGCGGACTGACAACTCATGGGGCCCCTGGCCAATAGGGGATCATGGGGCCCCTGTGTCCTTGCCCACACTCAAACCACACCCAAAAAAGCCTATGAAAGGTACCAGGGGCATCTCATGGGGCCACCTACTGACCCCAGGCCCTCGGGCAGTGCCCGATTGCCTGAATGGTCAGTCCGCCCCTTCTATCACATTATGGCAGACTTGCCTATAGAAGGAACCCTCCATTGCAGCACTGTCATGGATCCCCCAGCACTTCCACTTTCACCCTGTTCGCAGGCTCCAGCCCTTTGAATGGCCAGGACCTCAATGATGTCACTCCCGTGCATGTGTATAGGAGCCCCTTCCACAGCACAATGTTCTACATTCAATGGCATGCTGCATGCCCTGAATGCAGAGTGTCTGTGTGCATGCGCGGATGGTGTCAATGGCTATTGCTTATCTGAATGTCAGGAATGGACTCGCCAATGGTGGTGGGACTCACCTGCCTTGTGGGCTGCAGTACCAGGGCTGGCCAGCAGGTGCTCTCGGCAGCCAGAAGCTCACTCCTGCAATCAAGCCATCACCTGAGGCTGATTGCAGGAGGTGTATTTAAGGAATGGCCAGGCCTGCAGTCAGTGCCTTGGTGTATTGTTCCCATGAGCCCCTGTACCTACATCCTGTCTGCTTCCTGCCTGATCCTGACTCTGCTTGACCCTGACTCTGCTTGAACTCTGCCTGCACCAACCTCGGCTGCTCCTGACCAATCTTCTGCCTACCCCTTGTATCTTGTCTGCCCGTTAGCTATCGACCCGGCCCGCCTGTTCTCTATATTTATCAGTTAAGGTTTGGGTTTGTTGCACCTTGTTGTACGTATTTGTGTTAGTTTTGGGTTTGGTTTGTTGCACTGCGTTTATGTTTGTGTTGCCCTTAATAAATTATATTGTTTTACACGCTATACCTGAAGCCTGTGTTTCCCTGTGTCGGTCCACACACCTCTGGTCATACCTGGAGCCCTGACAGTGAATATCTCCTATGTAGTCCACGTTTCGGAGATATACTTTGTACTTACAGGTAATCCTGATTGTAATCTTTCCTGTAGGTACAAGTTAGGGTAGGGACTTTACTACCACTTTCAGTGCACACAAAAACCACTTGGCTACATACATAAATCCAACCATATACAGTATATATTTCATTGGCATTTTTAATATATTTGACATCTAGGGAGGATCAGTTATAAATCATAATGATTTTTTATAAATGCGGACAGTGAAACTTATAGTACCCCCTTTATTGGCAATCATTGATGGTATATGGAGAAGTGCCCCTTTACATTGGTGATTAGTGTATTAGTGCTGCATTACATTGGTGTTAAGTGAAGTGCCCCCTAAATTAGTCATCAGTGTAGTGCCTCCATGCATTGGTAGTCAATGGAAAAAGTGTCCCCTTGCATTGGTGTCAGTGTAATACCTCCTTACATCTGTGTTAGTGTAGCACCCCTTATATTTGTGGTCAAGGCAGCGCCGCTTACATTTATCTTAAATTTATAATCAGTGGATGACTTATAAAAAAAAAGGGTTTCTAGGCTTCAGAGAGAGCCTTTAAATTAGTGCAGAACACTGTATACTTTAATTTAAATGCCCTTGGAGATGAGGAAAGAGAAGGAGAAGGAGAAGGATGAGAAGAAGGGAGAAGGATGAGAAGAAGGAGAAGGATGAGAAAGAAGGAGAAGGATGAGAAGAAGGAGAAGGATGAGAAGAAGGAGAAGGAGAAGGATGAGAAAAAGGAGAAGGATGAGAAGAAGGAGAAGGAGAAGGATGAGGAGAAGGAGAAGGATGAGAAGAAGGAGAAGGATGAGAAGAAGAAGAAGGAGAAGGATGAGGAGAAGGAGAAGGATGAGAAGAAGGAGAAGGATGAGAAGAAGGAGAAGGAGAAGGATGAGAAGAAGGAGAAGGATGAGAAGAAGGAGAAGGAGAAGGATGAGAAGATGGAGAAGGAGAAGGATGAGAAGAAGGAGAAGGAGAAGGATGAGAAGAAGGAGAAGGAGAAGGATGAGGAGAAGGAGAAGGATGAGGAGAAGGAGAAGGATGAGAAGAAGGAGAAGGATGAGAAGAAGGAGAAGGATGAGAAGAAGGAGAAGGAGAAGGATGAGAAGAAGGAGAAGGATGAGAAGAAGGAGAAGGATGAGAAGAAGGAGAAGGAGAAGGAGGAAGCAGAAGGAGAAGGATGAGAAGAAGGAAAAGGAGAAGGATGAGAAGATGGAGAAGGAGAAGGATGAGAAGAAGGAGAAGGAGAAGGATGAGAAGAAGGAGAAGGATGAGAAGATGGAGAAGGAATGGAGAAGGATGAGAAGAAGGAGAAGGAGAAGGATGAGAAGAGGAGGAAGGAGAAGGATGAGAAGAAGGAGAAGGAGAAGGATGAGAAGAAGGAGTGAGGAGAAGGATGATGAGAAGAAGGAGAAGGAGAAGGATGAGAAGAAGGGAGAAGGATGAGAAGAAGGAGAAGGAGAAGGATGAGAAGAAGAGAAGGAGAAGGATGAGAAAGAAGGAGAAGGATGAGAAGATGTGGAGAAGGATGAGAAGAAGGAGAAGGATGAGAAGAAGGATGAGAAGAAGGATGAGAAAGAAGAAGGATGAGAAAGAAGGACAGTTCTGTGACAGTTTCTGTCTATTTCTGACAGTTCTGGGACATTCACTCCATACAGCTGTTTTCAAAACGCTGTATGGAGGGAATGTCATAGAACTGTCAGAAATAGACTCTATTTATGACAGTTCTGGGACTGTCCTTCCATACAGCGGTTGAAACATTGTATGTATTTGTTTCCATAAATGGATCCATTTATGGAAACAAATACATACAATGTTTCAACCGCTGTATGGAAGGACAGTCCCAGAACTGTTCATTAATAGTCTATTTCTGACAGTTCATGACATTCCCTCCATACAGCGGTTTCCGGCAAAAAGTGTATGTGCAAGAGTTCCTCTATTCTGCAGATACACTTAGAGGAGCTCTGCAGATTACACTTAGAGGAGCTCTGAAAATAAGATTAATTCCTAAGCCGGCAAAAAGTAAGAGGATGAGGATGAGGATGAAGAAGAAGAAGAAGAAGAAGAAGTAGGATGAAAAGAAGAATAATTCCAAGCCGGCAAAAAGTGTATGTGCAGAGTTCCTCTATTTCTGACAGTTCTCTCACAGCTTCTTCACATGTACAGCGGTTGAAACATCTGTATCCTAAATGGAAACTAATAGATACAATGTTTCAACCGCTAAACATGTGTTCCTTCTGTCAGAGAACTGTCAGAAATAGCGGAGCTCACTGCAGGGACACTTTTGCCGGCTGATCGGGAAATGTTCGATTCGCGCACCCGAAGTAGGCAAAATTTCGGTTTCGCCGCGAATCGAATATTTCCTGAAATTCGACTCGAATTCCGGTTCGCCTGGTTCGATTCGCTCATCTCTAGTTATGTGCCCCCATACATTGATAGTGATTACAGTGCCACCTCACATTGATCATCAGTGGAAAAGTTACATAGTTAGTCTGGTTGAAAAAAGACACAAGTCTACCTTGTTCAAACAATAAAAGGGGAAAAAAGAAAATAAATTATACAATCCTATATACCCAATCCTAAACCCACAGTTGATCCAGAGGAAAGCAAAAAAACCTCCAAAAAGCTTGATCCAATTTTCTCCAGGAGGGGAAAAATTTCCTTCCTAATGCCCCAAGAGGCAATTGGATATTCCCTGGATCAACTTTACCTATAAATATTGATATGCAGTTATATTGTGTACATTTAGGAAATAATCCAGGCCTTTTCTAAAACAATCTACTGAGCTGGCCAGAACCAGCTGTTGAGGAAGTCTATTCCACATTTTCACCACTCTTACAGTGAAGAAGCCTGTCCGTATATGGAGATGAAATCTCTTTTCCTCCAGATGTAAAGAGTGCTCCCTTGCCTCTTTGATGATTTTAAAATAAATAACGCTACACCAAGTTCACTATCTTGACCAATGATGTATTTATACATGTTGATCATATCCCCCCCCTTATCTCCTCTTCTCAAGAGAGGAATAAATTCAGGTCATCTAATCGTTCCATAGCTGAGCTCCTCCATGCCTCTTATCTGTTTGGTTGTCCTTCTCTGCACTTTCTCCAGTTCCCCGATATCATTTTGGTGAATTGGTGTCCAAAACTGGACTGCATATTCCAAGACGAGGTCTTGCTAATGATTTGTACCCAGACAGAACCCCTCTCTCTAAAGTCTATACCTCTCAATACAATAAAGGATTTTGCTCTCTTTGGAAACCACAGCTAGGCATTGCTGCCATTATTAACTGTTCCTGCATGGCGACCACTTCCTGTTTATCTCACATATATATTCTTATTATTATAGCCAAATTTACCCCCCTAACTCCTCCCACAGTTTTTACACTACATAGACAGTAATATACGGAAACGTGCGGATTGTTCCGGATTGGTGTGCTATTACTTTGTGGAACGTTTCTCCGGATGGTACACAAAATATCCCCATTTTTGTGGTGAAATTGGTCCCATAGGAATGAATGGCGGAATGTTCAAAACTAGAGTGGGAGCTGACAAAAGCTGGAGTGTGAGCTGAAAAATCAGGACATGATTTCTAAACTGCCATCACTCCCTCATTTTCAAGCCCACCTACACAAATCTTATATCAAAACGTTCAGCTATCCCTGCTGCCACTAAAAATGCCCACGGCTAAGCCATAGTCCTGATAGTTTTCACAATATGACCATTTGTTTGCAACTCACGCCGCCCAATTGACATTCATTGAAACTCCACTCTAGCCACCTCAAATTTGAAGGGCAATATCTAAACTGCAACTGTGCCTTCATTTTTAATATTTCAGAGACATGCTATGCATCAAAATGTAGGTCTTGTGATTCTCACAATATAAAGCTCATTGGTATAGGATTTATAATTTTTAAACTACAATCGTTTGAAGATGGCAACCGCCAGTAAAGTGACCAAGTTGGAGCAGTTTGTTTTTAACCGCTCTTCTCTGCCCTTGCTGTAGAGTGAGTTGCCATAGAAACCCAGGTGTGTGAGCAGGCAGCAGAGTGACAAGCCACTCCCCTCCAGTTACTCCGCCCACTCCAGTTGTAGACTACTGGTGGAGACAAGAACACTTCACAAAATTTCCCCAGAAATTGGAGCTTTTCTAGTTAACTAT